CAAGCTGGACTCATTATCTGAGAGAAGCTTAAAAATATCAATTAAGGTAGTGTAATTTCTCTCTTGCCTCCTTTAGTCTGCAGAGATGAAACTGTGGGAGTGTCCTGCTTGCTTGCTCATTGCTCTTGTCAAAAGAGCGACCAGAGTTTTATCATAATAGGCAAATCCCTTGTTAGCTGAAAGGGAGAAATAATTTAATGATGAGGGGCAAAATACTCTGGATCTTAAAGCAAACATGCATACATTCACCAGTGCTCCAGTGACCTCAGAAAGTTCTGTGGTGGGTAAAGATCTGTCAGCTGCTTCTGTAAAACTCCATTTCTTGGAGGAATGGAAAGAAACATTTTCATCTTTTTAAAATACCTGTGAAAATGTGTTTTGTGTATGTAGTCAGTAAGTATTTACATGAGAATAGGGGGAAAAAATCAAATCAGGGTTATGTCATCACAGAGAAAAGCCATTCTTCTGATTTCACTCTTTAAAGACAACCTACCAGTGCTTAAAAAGCTTTAAATAATGGTAATATATACATTTAATGGGCAGTTGTGAGTTGACATGATCAATTGTGAAAGCTCCAAGTGATTGGTTTTTACTTTTTCCCTCTCGTTCTTCCCTCCTTCCTACCCAACCAATTTTTGCAACTTTAAATGGTCTTGTCAGTAAGTGGAGTGTACTCACTTGTTTGGTCAGCAGCCAGCACATGCAAAATCTCCAGTCCATGAATTATGTAAACAAAAGACCTTTAGACCCAGGATGATTCTAATGATGAAGCTTTAATTTTAAAAGTTTTAAATTAGCCCTGTGTACATCTTTGTAATTTCCTAACATACACTGCAGAGTAATCCCACAGGCCAAAGAACAGTCTGTCATGATATGGTCAGTGTATTTCTGTTGAAGAGAGAGGCCTTAATGTACTGGTCTGGTTTAAGCCCTTTGGCTGTAGCACAAGTTCTTTGTCTGCTCCAAACCTGAAAGGTCACCTGCAGGATACAGTGTGATCTTTCAGGGGGGATGGAGGGATTCTTCTTTGTTTGTTTTGATGGTTTTAGGGAGTGCATTGCCTTGTCTCCTGATTAGAAGGTTGTCTTTGGAGAAGATTAAAAAAAAGATACTCTGTGATTCACTTTAGAAAAAGTATGAACACCTTTGGAACTAAATCCAGTCTGTATTTCTCTAATGCACCTTCTCTATTTAAATAGTGAATGAAGAAATCACCCTCCTTACAATTACAACTGTGAGAAGTGATTCCTTAGTGTAGTCTCTTCTGATGCAGTTCACTTTGTGAGGGAGATTGAGAGCTGTTAATATATGAACATAGTTTTCATGTACTTGGGAACACTGTGAAAATGTGAATTATGGCACCTGTGAAGCACTGTTGATAATCTCTTCTAGAAAACAGAGGCTAAGTTGCCATAGAAAAATAATGGATCTCAAAAATAATGAAATTTAAATATAAACAGAACCTGGAATGTTTTAACATTCAGGTCAAGCTTTTGTATGTGGTGAAATGTTATTGTCAGGACTTCTAAGTCCTGGAGAACTGTAGTCTCTTGATTTTAAAATGTGGAATTCGCACATCTGCTTGGAACCACAGTTCTAAGAAAAACACTAGCTATCATGAGGCTCATCAGAAAAGTACACAAGTTGGCACTTGGTGTAGATCCTAGCTGCTAAATGTTGTAAATGGATTTTTTAAATTTGTTTATTTCATAGTTATGTTACATCTGCATATATCGAGGTAAAAAGGCCAAATCTTGTTGAAATTTTACAGAGGAAAATTTCATTAGGAAGCAAAGAGCTTACCTTCACCAGTTAGAATTCCCCAAAGCTGTAAGACATGGATGCTTGCAGTGATAAAGCCTCCTAACGATGGGGAATTCCTTAATGACTGATAAAGGAATGATCTGCAGTACTACCTAGGGCTCACCAAGGCTCCAGTTCAGAGAGTGTTTAGCATACTTTGTGGATAAAGCTATTGCTGTTCACTGTCGTGCTGATTTAAGTGTGCACAGTTGTCAAAAGCAGATGGAAGGTCCTTGGGAACACACTTCCAGAAGGCAGTCAGGACCATCAGCAAGTGCCCAACTTTTGGCTGGGTTGGATTGCAGTGTCTCTTAGACCTGCACGGCCCACTTTTGCTGGCTCAGACCAAGGGCTGGTGTCTCCCCATAGCTCACCTCCAGCAGGACCTGTAAGCACATACTCATGTACAATGTTCTCCCCAGAGTTCTTCCAGCCCTCAGCACTCTCTGGCTTTGAGTCCCATGAGCTCACCTCAGCCTCCCTGCCTGAGCCTTTTAGTACCCATAATAACCTCTGACACCACATTTTGTGTGGCTTCCCTAAAGTGAAGAGAATATGTTATTCTCTTGTTAGAAAACAACAATATTGAGGGGATTGCTGGGGTTTTAGCTAAGATTTACTGTAATGGCTGATGCTGGCAGATGAAGGTGTTTATTTTGCAAGAAGAAAAATGATCTGAATGGCATGATTATTATCTACCAGGACTAGTTAATCTCCCAGCTATAGTTTTGATGCTAGTGGTACTGCTTTTGCTCTATTTTCAGTCTTGTTTCTACTTCTCAGAGCAAATTATTACAAAACAATTTCCCAATCTCTTCAGTTAGGACCTCTCCACCTCCTAAAAGGAATGCATTCTGTGCAGTACAGTATGTGATACTTTAATAATGTATAAATCAAGTTGGACAGAAGCTGCCTGTCAGTTTTATTAACTTTGACCTTTTCTCCCATTATAAGGATGGTTTGGTAAATATTTAATGTCCCTTATAGATTTTGACAGTTGGATATGCATTCCTGGGAGCAAAGGTAGATTATAAAGAAATACTTATAATTAGTAAAAATAGCTTAATCACTGGGTGTGAGCCTTCAAGGACAGAATTGGTTTTAAGAATATATTTATTTTTAATTCCCTACTTTTTTATGCCTGACCACTAAATGTCAGGCTAGCTGGGAGGTTATGATTTTTTTTTAAAAGGTGGCATTTAAAATTCATCTATGATTAGCACCTGTGATTACCTCTGTCTCTGAGCAAGTGTCCAAATTATGGTATTTACTTGAAATACCTGTCAGTGTCATTCTGAGCAGTGAACATGAGTGAATGGTGTCAACAGCATTAAGATGGCTGGAGAAGAGAAGGGCAAAGCATGTTCCTGGAGTCAGAGGGGTCCTCTGTCCCTTTCATTCCCTGCATATTGCACCCCCTGCAAATTCTGGTAGTGAAAGTTGAAAACTAAACCCCTGACACATTGAAACATTGCCTTTCAAACATGTACTGTCCATTCCTTGCATTGGTTTTTATTTTTTTTTACATTTCAGAAATCTGTCAGAGAAAAACAAATCTGAGCAAAACCCCTTGGTCTGAGCAGAGCTGGTGGGGCAATCGAGACTCCCTTCCCCAGCCAGGGTGCTGTTCTCTTCCCGTTAGGAATGTGATGTGTCTTCATGTTGTGCCACAGCCAAAGCTGCCAAGTAAATCAGGAGCCTGTTAAAAAGCCTTATGGATGCTCAGAGCATTGACATTTGAGTCAGACTGGCTGGTGGGATCCTTCCCTCATTCCAATTGCCATTTGCCAGTAGATCACTTTCTGAGCTTTGTTCCCTTCCTTTTCAGTGCCCTGCAGAAGAGCTTTGCCTAACACCACCTTAGTTTCTGAACATTTTAAGTCTTTTTTTCCTAACAGCAGCTTTTTTTAATCTGCCAACTTTGGGATTAGAGTTGTTAACCTGTTAATCAGTTCACCTTTCTTAGAACAAATCCTTAGGCAATTTAATGAACACATTGACGTGGGGACTAGGATGATGTAGTTACATTTATCTGACACTCTGAGCTTTTTTTGCACCCCCTTCTCTAAAAAAATGGGGAACTAAGAATGGAAGAATGTGTTTAGAGGTGAACTTGTAACTTGTTGCACTTAAAAGATGGTTCCAGGACTGACAGAGCAGTAGCTGCTCTGAAATCTGTGAGCAGTGGGAGTGTGCTCAAAATCTTGCAAATTCATGTTCTGTCCTTCATAAATCTGTCTTTTGTTGGCAAGTAAAATAAAAGGTGAGAAGAGAAAGCTACTGAATATGAATCTTCCTTTTGCAATGCCATGGGGATGTGCTAGCAGGTATTTTGAAGGCTGGATTTTTCTTTACAGTGTTAGAAACTTCTCTGTGAATGTTTTGTGGGTTTTTCTGTTTAAGAGAAAAAGAGGAATGTTATTTCTGAAAAGCTAGTTACATAGTGAGAGGGTTGCATCTTTCTTCATGTTCTTCCAAAAAGTAAGAATGCTTGATCCCTTGAAAACAGAAGCGGTTTTAATATGTAAAAGCAAGCCCAGGTTTGAGGAGAGTTAGGACTTGGGAGGGAGTCTTTGATTCACCATCTTACATGCCCTATAGAATGATTTGCTTGTAATGCCTATTTCACATCAGACTTATTTTTAAAATGCTTTTGTTCAGATCATCTTCCATCCAAGCAATGTATGTGACATATACATTAATTTACTGACTGGCTGTAATTCGAATTAGATTATACAGATAGTAGAGGTCTGATGCAGTGGTACTTGCATCTGATGCAGTAGAGGTGCTGCAGTGGTATCATAGTATGGTGAAGGTTGGAAGGGACCTTAAAGATCATCAGGTTCCAACCTCCCTGCTGTGAGCAGGGACATCTCCCACTAAACCAGGCTGCACAAGATCCCATTTACAAGCACTTCCAGGACCCAGGGCATCTGGGCAACGCTCACCCTCAGGCACAGCAAAACTCTGACTTCTAAGCATCAAGCCATTAGATACCTTGTCATTTCATTGAAGAGCTAGAAATTAACACTGTCCTCATCTAAATGCATAGAACTGGCATTAGTCCTAAGGCTAGAGATGGTCCTGCAAAGTTTGTGATTACTCTAAGCAAGTACAGGCATTCCAGCTTCTCAGGGCAAGGAAGCATCTTCTGATTTCCATTATGTATTTTAATATATGTGGTTTTTATCATCCAGTTGCAGTACCACGCCGGGCTTGCATCTGGCCTTTTGAATCAGCAATCTTTGAAACGTTCTGCCAACCAGATGGGAGTATCTGCAAAACGAAGACCAAAAGCCCAGCCAACAACTCTTGTCTTACCTCCTCAGTAAGTAATGGAATATTTTGAAGAGTTTGCGCAGGGGGATTTTTTTTTTGTTTTAACTTTTAATTGTAATTTGATTTTTTTAAGAAGTGTCATAATAACAGCTTTGTTGCTTGTGTTTGTGTTTCATGAAAGATGAGTTGTTACTGTTGCATGGATGGGGTACCCAATGGAAACACTACTTTGTTTCTTCTGCTTATGGAGGCACTGCAACAACAGAAAAGTTGCAAGGATTCTTCTCTGTAGCAGGTCATAGAAGTTTTTGCAACATGAGATTGTCATTGAGGAAAGATGTTCCCCTGATTAGTATGACTTGGAGCTTCAAGTTGGACTTTTCTGAAGGTCCTGAAAGGCTGAAGCCAAAAAGTCTTTGGTGTGAGTACTTTCTTGACAAACGTCTGTTCTGAGTCCATCTGTTCACCATAGTTAATTTTGCAGTGGATCTAAACCTCTTTTACAGGTGACAAGCAATTATGAGGACACTTAGAAACTGTTTGAGGACATAGAGTATCAACACTTGAGGCAGTCTGTGTACTGAAGCAAAAAACAAAGAGCTGTCCACAACTAGGCTTATAAATTAATAAACTGCTTAAAATATTTAGTTACATATAAGAAAATGATTATTATGGAGAAAATGAAACACTAAGCAATTATTCATTGTACTGAGCATCCTTGTAGTTTGTGGAAACTGCCTGCTTTTTTTCACAGACTAAGAGTCACTGATGTATAAGCTGTACACTATTAAAACTTCATAGTTGTGATAATGAAAGTCCCCTGACCAGAGTCCCCAGGCCTAAGCTGATGAAGGAATCAAAGGAAGTTTAGAGGTTTTTTCCTTATGAAATGAGAAAAAAAAAAAATAATCAGAGTCAACAGAGCTTTCCCCTTATATATTAAATTCAAAGGGCTGTTTATTCCAGAATCCATAAAATGTGTTATTGTTTTACAAATATTTCAGATGAAGACAAATGGTTACAAGGGCAGATCAAGCAGAACTACAGGTTTGAAAACCAGATGTTGTTTCTTTTCTATCTGTGAAAGAACAGGGGTATCTTGTAATGAACTGGCTGTTTAGTCTTGGGTTTATCCAGAGCTTAAAATGATCTTCAAGGAGTCTATGAACTGGAGTACTGTGGTAGCAGTTGTCACAGGTTTTGTTCAGAGGTCTTGAAATATTTCGGTGTTTAGTTTAGGGCTTTTTTTAATCATGGCTTCTCTGGTTACTAGAAATTAATATAATGAGAGAAAGAGCTGGCTTATATTTTTGTCTTAAAAGTCTGTATTTAAACACTTGCAGCTGTATAAATTTTAATGTGGGGTATGTAATACATTTAGAAGTATTGTATAGCTTTTAATCTGCCAGTGATTTTTCCTAGACTGGTGTTTTTACCTACAATTTGCAGACAGAATGAAATTTTAGTGTGATAACTAAACTTCACCTAGTAGCTGAATTATGTTTTGGTCTATTACTGACTACTTCAATCATTATGCACAGGGAAAATATGTTTATGCTGAACTGGCCCTGGTTTCCTCCTCTCTGGCTTCTCTTTGACCTTTCTGTATATGTTCTTATTTGCTATCTTGGTGTGTCTTAAGAAGTGAATAATAGTTATATTAAGTCAAATCAAATGCCCGTTGAGCTCAATATCAAATCTCCCAACACAGGGCAGAAACAGATTATGAAAAGCTTTATGAAAATAGGCTTATGAAAAGTGTTTTAAAAATATATATATATAGCAAATGGATTTTAATATCTTGATTTTGCTGTAGTTTCATGCAAATAATGATGAATCATGCTGTGATTATATTTTTTTCTTTCTCTTCACTCTCTCTAAAATGCAAAAGAAGAAAAAATACAGGTGCAAAACTCTTTATCTCCTTGAAAGGGCATTCTGCATACTGATTTTCCCGTGGCAATCCAGGACATTTGTTTTTTTAGCTTTATTGTTTAGTCAGGGAAGGGGTAACTATGTCTTTTTTTGGTTTGATGTATGCCATTAAAATTAAGTTCAGTGACAAGTCTTTGGGCTGAGTAACAATGTGCTATGAGTCAAGTAGATACTAAATGTTGTTCAGAGCAATTATATTAGCTAGAACTTTTCTTAAACATAAGTAGTTAAAACAGGCTGTATGCCAAAATATCATTGTAGGTTGGAGCAAATGGCAGTACTGCAGTGATCCTTTTGAGCCAGCAAAGGAATGCAGGGAACACTTGCTCAGGAGGTAACACAGGTGATGATTTGGAGAAGGAGTCTTCTAAAAGCTGCTTTAAGCAGAATTTGTGTATGAATAGTTTGATATTAAATGTGTGAATTTGAGTTTGAGGTAGCATTAGAGAGTGTGTTCACTGATCTATTTATTCCTGCACGGTAACATTTGCTGTTGCACTTTAAATTCTCAGTGGCAATGATGCAAGCTGAACAACTGTCTTGTTAATCCAAATCTTTGATCTGTACTGCTGTGGTGAGACTTGAGTGTTATTCCACAGACTGAGTGTACCCAAATGTTGTATCTTCTCATAGGGGTGATGATCCAAAACTTGAGTCTTGCGCTGTGTCGACTCATTGTTCTCTTTAGCCCTTAGTCTCTCTCCCTGCTGTGCTTTTTCATCTCCTTTCCTCTAAATGGCTTTAAAAACACAAAAAAAAACCCCTACCAGAAACCCCCCCCCTAAAAAAATGACAAAAAAGCATAAAACCCCAGAAAACCAAACAAACCCAGAACCTTCTCAGCCTGCCTTGGAGGCTTGGTCATCTCTTCCTACATTATGCTTAAAGAGGGAGCTGGAGAAAGAATTTTGCTAATGGCAAAGCTGATTCTTGATGGGCCCACCCATTTGTCCTTTGCCAGCCTCAGGCCATCTTTTGATGTGCTCTGGTTTGGAAGTAAGAAGTTCTAGTTTATCACTGGTAGATACCTGAAACAGCAGCAACAATTTTTAATTGAAAGAAAGATGTTTTTTAAAATTGGAAGGTCTCTGTCCTATGCAACCACTACAAGGAAGGTTATAATTTTACCTCACTGCTTTCATTTTCTGAGAGCTTCTAAGAGTGCCAAACAGTTTTGAAGAAGACCTTTTGTTGAGTTTTGCTCTTCAGTGTTGGTATTCACTGACTCTGAAAGTGCAGAAAGGAATCTGAGATTGATATGCATCTCATTTCTAGCCAAATTTATCTACATGAGAAAATGACTAACTGCTGGCTTCTTTCTCTCCTTGCTTTGTCCCTCCTGTCTTCTATTAACAAGACATCTCCCTGTACTTGCTAATACATGCGTTAACTCACATGCTTCTCATCTGGCTGCATCTTCCTTCCTTCTGTTCAAAAATCTCAGAGCAGTGTTTGCTGACGTGCTGAAAGCTGTCAGCTCCTTCCCAGGGTTGGGGAAGACATATTCATGCATCCCTTCTGAAAACCAGGGTGGCTTCTTTTGGTTTGCAATAAGCAAATGCAATAAGAAATTATGACACTTAGGGTTTTGGTTTTTTTCTTTCCTCTTGATATATAGTAATTAATGCAGCTATTTAGCCTTGTATTATTTTGCTTGGCTCAAAAACTAATTCCCAGTTATGAAGTTGGCTCCACAACCCTGTGGGAACCAAGCAAAGAGTCTGGAGTGGCTGAGAGCAGGGAACCCACGGAGGTGGTCCCTGCTGGTGGAATGTCCTGCTGAGAGCCCCACAGACTCTGGTTTGTCCCTGACTAGCTGGAAAATGACAGCAGTGAGTCACTTGGAGATGAGAAGGAAGAAAGGAAAGAGAGAGCACAGGGTGTTGAGTGTATTCTTGTGTTCATTAGCACACAAGAGGGCCAGTTAGTATTAATGGCATTTTTAGGGGTCTTGGCTGAAAACCTTGTGACTTTGATAGCTCTGTTGTGTGAGGCTTTCGCAGTGCTTCCAGATTAATCATCTGTCTTCTCTGTCTGGAAGGAAATTGCCAGAGCAAGAACTTGCTCAGCACAAAAGGTACTGAGATTCTTGCCCTTTATGGTGCCTTTTAGGGTCATTTGTTGTGACACTTGTGGTTTGGGGAAAATAAGCACACTAGAAACAACAAACAAGTCTGATTCCTGTTTGACAACTTCAGGCTCAATGGACAAAGAAGTTTGAGTAAAAGAGAGTCCAGTTTTTTGTTTTAGGGCTTTTCAACTTGTCTTGTAAATCTCTAGTGCTCTGATGTATGTCCTGTCCTGACAGTGAAAGCATTGTAATAGATTGAGTAAAAATCTCTGAATTTGTACTCTGTTGCTAGGAGCAGAGCAGCAAAATTACTTTTCCTTTATTTAAAAAAAAAGGAAGAAGATAGTGCTGCCCATGATATTGTTCTAGATAAATGAACAGCAAACAGCTGTGAAGATAACTTTTCTTTTAGGACATAATGAACACTTGAGTATAGAGAGCTGGGCAGACTCAGGAGGGTCACGTTTCTGCCACTTGTTCTGGGTGAGATGGAGGAGGTCTCTGTCCTCCATCTGCATTCTTCTACAAGAAAGTTGTCTGTAGTTCCTCCTTTGGAGCTACATTAGCAAAAGATGCTCTTTCATGGGTGGTCTCCTTTAAAAGCTTAATTTTCTGGATCAGCAGGTATCTGTTTGTCTGGATTTGGAAAATAAACTTACAGAAATCTCAGACTCTGTGTTTGCTGTAGCTGGACTCAATCCCAGTGTGGCCAAAGTGGTTTTGTTAGTGTTAATGCCCTATTCATTTTAATTGCTCTGTTGTGTAAGTAGTATTGTAAGATTCTTTTTTTTTTATTCTGGACACACAGATTGAGTCTTCAGGAAGGAATTTCATTTAAAATAGTCAGTGATGTATCATAAAAAAAAAAGTTGATATTTTTAATAGTTATCTGAAAGGTATGTGTATATAATATAAACTATACAACCAGTCATCAGACGTGCTAGAATAAATTATTTGGCACGTAATTTGTATAATTTATAATTTTTACATTAAGATAAATCCTGATGAGCCCTTTGCCAAGAGCTTTTGGAGGAAAGGGCTTT